TTTTAATTATTATTATTTAGGTGAGCTATGATATGAGCTAGATATATGACAGACATGTGAATTTTATTGATATAAAGTATGATGGTGGGTGATATTTTCAAATTAGATTTGTTTAGATAAACTTTAAAGATTTTTAAAAGTTAAAATTGGATATTGAGAGGTAAAAGAAATATTTTAACTAAACAAATAAAAATCAAATTTATTAATTTTATCTGTTCGTATATCTAATTTTTAATTTTTTTGTTATGTTATATCATCTGATTTTTTGGAGAAGAGAAAAGGAATGTAAGTTTTAATATATTTTTTTTAAAAATTGGTGAGAGAGATTTTGATGGGGAGATTATTAAATATTTTTGTTATCTTCCCATTTGAAATCCATAAATTAAATGATAATTATCATTTCTAAAATAATTAAATAAATAAATCAACCAATAGGTTTTTTTTAATCTATTTTATAAATTGAAAAATCAATAATTTTAGAATAAGAGTTTAGAACTCTTAGGAGACTTCTCATTAGAAATCTCATTTTCCTTATATAATATATAAATAGATATAGATATTTATATTTTTTAGATATTTTTTTAATATACAAATTATTTTTATTTTTTTAGATTTTTTATAAAAATAATTTAATAATCTCATCACTAACCATAGTGTATGAGAGAAGTTGAAAAGGGTGTTTCTGTAACTATAAGAGAAGTCAAAAAGGCTTGTAGGTTGGGAGAAGTTAATAAATGCCGAGGTTAATATTTTTTTAACTCAAAAAATTAGAAAATTAAAATTGAGATATTAGAGTTTCCACAAGGGTGGTGGGTTAAAAACCCCATTTTCCTTATAATGCCAGTGATAACCTATGCTACACACGGCATGTAAAAAAGTTAATAATATATTTTTATACAAAATAATATAAATAGTTAAATTTTTGTATGCAAATTATGAAAATAAAGAAGATTGAAATTTACAATTTAAATCTTACATTTTTATCACAATTTCTTTATTATTTTTTTAATTTGTCACAAATTTAATTATATAACTTTCAACCTTTCTTTCTAGAATTGCAAACTTAGGTGGGTTCAACCCAAGCTAGGGGTGCAACTTGGGCGGGCTCAACCCGAACCCAGTTCGATTTTTTGTAGGGTTTGGACAAGATATTTTCAAATTCGGTACGGCATTGGACAAATATTTAGAAGCCTGAATTAAATTTGGGAGACTTTGGGCAAAGATATCAAACAAACCAAGCAACCCGAAACCTGAATTATACATATATAAATATATAAAAATATTATATATATATATAAATTATTAGCCATTATATGATATTAAAGTAATTTAGATTATTAAATTATATTGAATATATATTTTATATACAAATAGTACAAAATCTTACTCTTTTTTTTATTTTTTTATTTTCACTCATAAATTGTAAAGACTACTATAGCGGCATCTTTTTTACATTATATAAATTATTTGTTTTAATGGTATGAAAGATTTTCTATAATAAAAAAAATATAAATAGAGTCAAAGTTTAATAATTTAATAATGTAGCTAGAAAAAAAAAACAAAAAATAAAAAGAAATTGAAATTGATTTATAATTCGGGCAACTCGGGTTTAATTCGAGTCGGGCTTGGACAGGTAACTTTGGGTTATAATTCAGGCCTGGGCGAGCCTGGGCAGATTTTCAGCACAACTTGGGCTGGACTTGGACAACCTCCTAACCCGACCGAACTCGCTCGAGTTACACCCCTAACCCAAGCAACTTGAGTCGAGCTTAAATTTTTTTAAAGATTGAACTATATAGCTTTTAATTAAGTGAAAACCTATGCAAAAATTTAAAAATTTAAATTAAATTTGAGTGGACTTGAGCAGAAACACCAATTAATAACCTGAGCAACCAAAAGAAAATTATATATATAAATATATAAATTCATTAAGTTGGAGGGTAATGTTGGGCCTGTGGGAGCCCACCACGGGTCCCGTTTTGATAATCCGAACCGTTCAATGTGTAAAACTCGTCGAATACTATATAGCTGTAAAAAATCACGTTAATCGGATATGAATAGTTATGTCATCAAATTAGATTTTTTTCAGCCATTTATTTTTCATCGTCCATTAATTTTATACAAAACTATTTTGATCACATAACTATCAATATCCGATTAAAGTGATTTTTCACATGAATATAGTACTCAATGAATTCTACACATTGAACGGTTCAAATTATCGAAACGGGATCCATGGTGGACCCCCACTGCCTAACAGTACTTGTGAAGCCTTATGCACCATTTCAACCAAGCCGTACTATCCTCCTACCACCTGTCACTGATGAGTCTACAATGTAGGGGTAAAAACATAATTTTTCCATTTTATATAATATTTTAATACACATTTTTTTGTAAAAAGATAAAAAATTATCCTAAATAACTATCTTTTTTTCCTCAACTCTTTAGTGTTATTATGAGGGTAAGGCTTGGGGTTGGGAGAAGTTAATAAATGTTAAGATTTTTTTTTTTTTAAATCAAAAAATCAGGAAATTTAGATTGGGAGGTTGGAACTCCCACAAGGCTTGGGGGTTAGAAACCCCCTTTTCCTTAATATATAGATATAGAGAGATAGAGAGATAGATAGATAGATTTAATAAGAATTTATGTTTGTTTTAGATATTTTTTTAATATACAAATTATTTTTTTTAAATTTTTTTTATAAAAATAATTTAACAATCTTGTCACTAGCCATAGTGTATGAGAGAAGTTGAAGAGGGCGTAGGAGTAGATATAGGAGAAGTCAAAAAGTGGGTTGGGAGAAGTCAATAAATGCTGAGCTTTTTTTTTTAATAAATAAATCAGGAAATTTAGATTGGGATATTGGAG